GGGCACCTCAGAACACCGGGAAATCTAATCTAGTCACTAGTCACTGGCGTGCTTCCCTTGGTACTGGTAACTGGTACATGACGACACACGTTGTAGTGAAGTGATTCTAAGTGACGACACAGTGATTCGGGTGGGGTCGGACAAGTCAGAGGGGTATCACATACGTGACCACTGAGACTGGTAGGGAAAGGTCTGCAAGATGGTGCTGCCAACACATGAATCAAGACAGGCACATCGGTCGAAAAAACACTAACTAACAATAGCTCTTCAACAGCAGACACCAGCCTCACTACTCACTAGCCGTCACTAGCCACCATACACAGTTTATTTAGACTTAGACTCTAGACTCTAATCAGTCAGCTGTGTCAGACTCAGAAAACTGGTTAAACTGGCTACCAGTAAGTTACTAGAGTCAATAGAGTTATGGAGTAACTCGAAATACTTGAAATAAACATCTTCCTAAATGCACTAGCGGCGGTCACTAGCGACTAGTGACTAGTATTTAGAGAATCCACTCTGTGGTCACCGTTTGTGAAGCTTCTAACCAGATTCGGTCGCACCGAAAATCTGCGGGAAATCAAGCGACTGTGTCTTGACAGTGTCCCCAAACCAAGCTGTATATCCTTAGCCCTAAGCTTGCGGATGCCTTACTGGAACATTGTACCAAACATATCAGTTGCAATGTTCAACAAATTTAACATTTAACAGTTATTGGCACAACCACTTCTAATTGTCTAAGTCTAAGTGTTTTCCAAAAGATTCATGGTCACATAGCACCGGAGGCCAGCACGAACCCAGAACTTGTAGCCTTGCAAAATAATAACAATAAGAGTACTATCTAATCACAAGCAACACGGCAGCAAACGAATGACGAATAAGATACCGGCCACAAAAGCTAAGGGTTAATGCAAGTGACATAATTGGTTTGTCCATCCTACCCGGTCCTACCCCGAGGCTCTAGACTCTGGACATCAAAGTCCAGACAAGCATTCCGGCAGGCGGTTTGAAGGAATCCGTCAAGAAGGCCCGAGTAGTACGAGAGGACGATGTGAGTGACCAAGCAGATCACGGGAAGACACGTTCAAAATTTTGCCAAGAAAGCAGCAGGATTGCAGCATTTGTAAAGCCCATGCTCGCCGGAGTTCAACAAATTAACCCTGTAATGAATCCACAACACCCACCCTCAGACAAGACTAATGACTGACTGATGAGTCTCAGAAACATGACAGACCTAACACCGGCATACCAGACAGAATTCAGAGCAAACAAAGACACTAACATCACTAACAGCTGAGCGGCTAAGCGGACAAAAGATGCGAACTCAGCCTACGATCCAAAATAACCCAAGGCACTGCCTGTGACAACAGCTGCTCGGTTCTTGGGCTCGATCGCTCAAATGCTCGTTCCATCTCCTCGTCCGGCTCCTCCTTCACGGGCCTTGCCTGGCTGGCCGACGGCTATTCGATTGTGTCTAAAGTTGACTAAAGTGCTAGATTACTAGATTTGACTGGACTGGACATTGATTGGACAACACTTGCATTCGCCATGAGCACTTTCATACTCCTCCGGACACGTCGGGACCTATGACCTAGAAACTGCAAACAAAGACTCATCGACTCTTGCAACGAGTATGCATACAGACGGGTCCTAGTGTTCTAGTGACTAGTGACTACTGACTCGGTGTCATCCAAACGCCAAGAATCCCCTACGGATTCGAAGAAGCACGAATAAAGGTACTACCTCATACAAATTCGCCCTGCTGCCCTACCAGTACTCTGCTCTAGACTCTAGACTACGATTACTATTCTGGGTGGCAAGACCACTGCCACCAAAAAGCCAAGAAATCGTGAGTAGTGATATGACGAAGCGCCATAACTGGTGTGACTTCTGTGGGTACCGGGCTGCTTGAACTACCAGCAAAACTGACTTGCCGGTGCAGTGACACGACTCTATGCTTATGCTTTTACTTTGTACTGTATGCTTGTGTAGGAAATCATGCCGTGCTTCCAACATACAGTTTCGTCAAATTGGCACACAATTACAACCCTCTCTGACACAGAAAACTTTCTGGATCGCAGTAAAAGTTCGGTGGAGCCCGGGCGACACGAATTGCGAATCTATGGTGCTCACAAAATACAACCGTTGCCGATAGCTAAATCCACTTGAAGCAAACACAACACAGACCCTCCCAAAGCTGGCCATCTGATATGGGCGCTTCTTGGGTCCTTTGCTTTGCTAGCCACTGCTCACTGCACCTGATTGCTAGCACACATACTTACTCTCCTGACTTCAAATTATTGCCTGCAGTGTCGCCTTGGCAGCTGTTGGTTTCTTTGGCGGCATGGACACGGAATTGAGAGCTGGGCAAGCAAGCAGACTTAAAGAAGCTTCAGCCCAAATCTCGCGGCAGCTGAAGCTTAAGAATCGGCTTCATTCAATCGTGACGACCCCTGCAACTCCCAAAACACAGCTGGCATGGGCTCTGATTCAAAGCCGAAAAGCCTAACCCTAAGGACTGCCCCTGCCAAAGCCACAGCATGACCATCATAACATGACATAACACATTCGTGCGGCACAATTCTCGAATCTTGTAACTGTCGCGGGAAGCCAAAATCCTGAACCGATGGCTCCAGCCGTCTGATTTGCAACGGTAACGGTAACGGCTCTGTGACCGTGATAACACCGAGCAGAGTAGACTAGCAATGACTAGCAAAAGCTGCTAGCTGACTAGCTGAATGCCTCAGTAGCTGCTCAACACCCATGAAGGTGCTTGTTTCAAGACCCACGACCTACGACTCTGAGCCCACGACTACCCTGACGACCAGAGTACAATTAGTCGTCTTCATGTGTGACCGACGGCTCTGGCTACTCACTGGTGGCTAATGAGGCTAACGCGGCTAATGACGGCTGAGTTCCAGTCAACCAAGACGAAATTACTGACGGATGACTTCTCTGGCATCGACAATTCGATCTTCTTTCTTGCCCACCCGGATGGAGCAAATGCACTCATGTGTCTAATGAATTATCTTGCAGACGAGGGCCAAACACGGGTGGCCCATGTCGTGGCCACTGCTGCCCCAGTTCCACATGGGAGACGACAAAAAACCACAGACACAAAGTTCCGAGCACATAAATCACGAGAGTCACTCACTAGAGTCACTACAGTCGTCACACCACAAGCAAGGAGAGTGACATCCAAAACATGCCGCAAGCTCACTCGATCAAGCTACCGGCTATGCAGCTGCATGTTAGAAGCGGGCGTCATTATATTCGGCCCCCAAAAACATGTACTTGTGGTTGTAAATCATGGGTGGAAGACACCGTCTAGAGTCTATAAGTCTGGAGTCTGGGGCTACGAGTCGAGTTTAGGGAGTCTCGGGTGCAGTGTCATTTGCTATTCCTCAGGCTCGAATAAGAACTACAAGGACCAGGCTATGGCCTAGAGGGCCTAGAGTCCTAGAGCTTCGAAGACCTATGACAGCCCGAATTTTCTTTCGGATCTGATACTCATTCCTTGAAAAACCTAGATAGCAGCCATAGCCATATCTGCAAGTACTAAGAGTCAATGTGTACATGTTCGTTAAGGGCCTGCAGTGGCCTGCAAGGAGCTATGCCAAGCCCTGTCTGTTCTGCAACTGCTCGACACTGCTACACTACTAGACTGTCCATGCTTCGTCCTTCGAATGCTGCTGCAGGTGCACTAAGACACACTGCAGCAATCTAGTGAATCTAGTACTGTACGAAACCACTGGCAACTGTTCCGTCTGAGACATGGACCCAAACAATCCCGTCTCAAAACTCTGCCTGGTGCCGGAGTTACTACCAAGACGTGCTGCTGCTAGAATCTAGAATCTAGTTTCTAGAAATGACATCCCGTGGTCCATGCCCGGTGGCGGGTAGCAGTGCTGTTTGGAATGCACAACACTGACTCAATCGTGAACTTGTGAACTAGGACGCTAGATGCCGCTAGATTGCAGATTAAAACAATTCCCACAAATGCCGCCCACCAAGTACGAAACAGCCAGCACGAAGCTGCTGACAGCTGATTGAAAGTTAGCAAGTGACATCTTCGCAGTGTTTGGGCCTGCATACGACCCAGACCCAGACCTCGCCGTCCTAGCCACCCCAGCCCGGGACCCAGGAGTACCTGGAATTTCACCGAGAAAAAAACACAGCCTCTCGGGCCTCCGCAGACCAGGCTTGTGAAGGCATCGAGCCCAGCATTGCCGAATAAACTATCAATACCAGGTCAATACCATGACCACTACTACGTCACCACTAGTCACACTACCCCTGCCGCTGCTACTGCTGCTACTGCTACCCCTACTACTCCTCCTGCTGCTGCTACTACAACTACTGCTACTAATAATAACAAGAAGAATAATTCCACTTACTAGTCATGCTAATACTAGTTACAAATACTATTATACACATACACTAATACTAATACTAATGCTAATAGACTAATACTAATAATAATATTAATACTAATACTAATACTAAAACTAATACTGATACTAATACTAAATAATAATACTAATAATTACTAATGAATACTAATGCTCATACGAATACGACCACGACGAATATTATTACTAAGTTCATTCATACTGGAAACCACTACTACCTCGTCACACGGCAATATCTTACGGCTTATGCCTCCCGCTTGCCTTGGAATCCAAACTCTGCCCGGGCAACCCATATACATTTGACTCCTTGCGACTGCACAACCCCATATAGGCCGGCCTAGGGCCTAGAAACATAAAGACTTCGGATAACTGATTTCATCGAATCTAATCGCTAGACTTGGCTACAGAAGTGTTTCTGCCAGCTGCTGCTTGATTTCAAGAATGTAACGAGCCTTCGCACAGCCTGGACTCTGTTACTGTGTCATGCCAAGACACAGTCTGCTCGCTAAGACCGCTAAGACTAAGGTGACTAACGCACTAAGGCACCAGGGCCACTCACTCGTCACTAGGGCCACAATGGTGAAAAAAACATCAATCGAAGTCTTCCGTGATGTCAATGACAACACGCTGCCTCTTTCTCGCTGGCTGCTGAGCAACTCTGTCTCTAAGTCTGGCTGGTGTGGGTGTTTGCTTTTGCTTCACTCTGGAAACACGGCTTGGGCAAAGGATCTGGAGTGGTGTCTGCTGCGGAGCTTCGAACTGTCGGTTGCGCATGACCCAGAAAGCCCAAACCATGGTGGCCAAGCAAGGGAGGCTCATTCCATTGCCTACCATATCTTTGAGAGCACGCTGCCCAATGCTTCGGGGGGCGATTGCGGATCTGGGGAAGCCGTGCATGAGCATCATCTCCAAAGGAAGAACGACACGGTCTTCTGAGTAGGAGTAAAGCAATGTCGAGGTGGTGAAGGTGCAAGCTACACCGTCAGCACGGCTGTGTTTCATCCGGTCATGGCCTTGAGAAATATCTAAGTATGTGTCCTTCAGCACATCAACCGCAAGTTGGCCACGTTTGGAGAGCAAGACCTTTGCGGCGACGGTATCGATCAAGTCTTGCTGCCTGGCAGTCAGCCTCAGGCCCTCCCCTACAAAGTCATCTCTGCTCGTCCAGAGAGCAGATGACAAAGAAATCCCAATCGCAATTCTTGCTTCAGCGGCCTTGAGCTTCCACTTGGCCTCGTGACCGCCAGCATCGCGTTCCGAAGTGGCAGTCTGGTCAGCCTGACACATGAAGTCTTCTTATAACCCCTGCGACCAGAATGAA